TTCATCAGCATCATCTGGTAGTTCTGTATTACTGAGCTTTTCGAAGCTCACTCTATTACTCACATTTTCAGGTTAAAAAGAATTGTACCAGTGCATCTATCGACTTCAGTAAGGGAGTTCTTCCGGCGTTGTTGCAGAGTATGATACATGTGATTAGGGGCATGTAATGGTATTTTGTTTTATATGCGAGTCTGGAAATCTGTTTTATTTTTAAGTAGTGGCAAATGATTTTATAAGTTTTCATGTTCTGATAAAAAGTTTTAAATTTTCCGCCATTTTTACAGAGGGTCGCTCCGGTGACCCTAATGTGACTTCCCGGATCGAATCGGGCTACCCGCATCGATCTGGGGGGTTACAAATAATATTATTCTGGGGAAAATAAAATAAAAATCAAAGTTCCTTTCTTTCATCCTAAATAAACTGTGAGGATCTTTCTCATAAGCCATTGCTATAAGATTTTTTTTTATAAAAACGGTGATCGAATCGTATTCCTTGACAGGGTTTGCCAGTGTTCATCCCAAAAAAAGAAAAAGAAAACTGAAGATTTATATATATATATATATATATGTAAACATGTAGATTTCTTTTGTTAAATTGAGTTTGAAAAGGCTGATGATGTCGCCATTTGAGTTTGAAAAGGCTGAAGATTTACCTCTTTTGTAACACCTCAAACACAACCCGAAAGATTTAAAGGACCTTAAGTACTACATTAGGTCATTAAACATGATAATATTTTTTACTTTTTATTATTTAAATATTCATACCCATTTAAAACCAAATCAAAAAATCAGTAATAAATCTGAAATATTAACAAGATTTACACAAAATCAAAACTTTGATATTTTAAAACAAAATACGAAAAAAATAAACTCTTTAATAGAGTTTAGAGATCAAATAGAAATAAATAAGATTTTACAAATACACATGTCCACTATAGAATGTTAGAATATTCTACTCTATATAGTTAGGGTCGAAACCCATTTGATGATAATAATACAATCTAAACTCGGTCACGAAAATTATAAACCTGTGCACGAAAAATAATTTCAACAAATCTATTGTTGCTTAAGGTTATTTTATTAAGGTGTCCCACAAATCAAGGGTGGATCCCCCTCTCCCTATATCTCGAAGGTTTAGCTTAGATAATGCAATGCATCTAATTCTTATTCACCTTTGACATTAAGAAAACTGATATTTTAAATTGGACTTTGAGTTAATTAAACATATGTTATAATATCATGACATTTTTTGACTTAATGGGTTTTTCTTCTTCATATTTTAGACTTTAAGCATCTTTCCCCTTTATATGGAACAATTTTGCAAAAACTATGAAAAATATTGGTTTAAAATACTGAATTCAAATGCCCCAAATTCAGATTTTCTCATTTTTCAAAGCAAGATTTGGATTGCAAATAGGGGGTGGCCTATGATTAAAACATTAAGATAATCATTATTTCCAATGTTTGTTCCAAAATTTTATGAGCCGTTGCTTTTGATGGGGAAATAGTGAGGATTTTGCTTTGACATTTTTGGGAAATGGAGATGGGTTCATTATTAAATTAATCATTATTAGAGATAACTTTAGTTTTTTCCTTCAAATTGATCCTTGTATTATGCCTTTGTTATCACATAGTCCATTAAACTATATAATAGAAGAACCCATTAAGTAGCCTCGGTGGTTAAAGTGAGTATTGTTTTTCCTAAAGGTCATGGGTTCATACACTTGTGTTTGCGAGTGTATGTACATTGTCAATAACTAAGAAATATTTTAAACAGATACTTAAGTCGATATAAATCCACAACCTCTAATATATTGCAACAACAATATCAGTTCAACTAAGATTTAGTTCATGTATAATCTTATATTATGATTAAGATTTTTAATTGCTTGGAATTCTTGGACCTCGTTTCCTATGTTTGCCACTATAGAAAAAACAAATGGAATTCTTCAACAGATATAGGGATTTTAACTTCTTTTGTTAATTTAACAATGAACCTTTGCTGTAGCCATTAAAGTGGCATAATTTAGCTATCGTTTTCATTTGCTCATTTGACATTTGAGAAGCTATGAGGATTCATTTGCTTTGGTTAATAGTGCTAATATTTTACGTTATTAAAGTAATAAATAAGAATATATTCGATTTGAGTCAGAAAAAAAGATTTTGCATCATTTGGTTTGATACAATATGGAAGGTCGGTGTCCTTTTTGTACAATTTGAACTTCGTCCGTTAGCATTAAAGATGAGAAACGAATAGGCACGAATCAAGCGACTTCAATGACTAAGAGATTTGTTGTTATCTCTTGAGGTCTCGGGGGTTAAAATAACGCGTATATCAAAGCATGAGCATTATTATCAAAGAATTGAAAGTTTTTGAACATATACTATCTTATATTCACTTTAAATTTATCCAAAAAAATGAAAAAAACGAACAAAGAATACGTGTAGAATATAAATATAGGCTATAAATAAAGATGACATAGCCCATCGACAAGATTTTTTTAATAGAGTTTTAAATTAATCGAATTTGAACAAATAAATTTTTATTTATGTTTATTTGTTTGTTTTTAAGTTTGTTCATGTTCTTAAGAAGTCATAATTGTGTTCCCTTTTGTTTATGTAACAATTATGTGTATTTATGTTCGCTTGTTTAATATTCGTTTAGTGTTTATAAACATGTTTATTTAACAAGTATGTGAATACTAAACGAATATGTTTGTGAACAATTTACTTAAACAACAATATTCATAAATATATTCATGAAAATATAATTGAATTTATTTGTAATTAATTAAAAATCTATTTGTAAACCATAAACAAACAAATCATAAATAAACATAATTCTAGTTTTAATAACTATGTTATAAATAAATAAAAATAAATATAAAAATTTCAAGTATTTCTATATGAAAATATCAAATTTAAATAAACAAACTAATAAATTAGGTTGCTTATGACTATAACATATTCAAACTCGTTCGTTTATACTTAATTATTTAATTTAATAATTAATCAAATAATATATAAACAATTCATGAGTAGTTTATCGTATACTATATTCATTTACAATTCTATTTATCAACAAAGATTTAAAAGGAAAATACTTTAAAGAGCCATATAGGTCTATGTTAATAGGTCTCTTCTGTTTTTTAGCTCTTTAGTTGTCAGTTTCTCATTCCTGTGTGGTTCATCTGCTTTATTCCAGTCTTCCTATCCACTCATATCATTATCCTCAGAACACCTTTTCTATATAGAAAGAACATAGAACACGCAGATTGCTTATGAAATTTGTTTCAATTCTGTCTTACACATTAGCTGGTGATGTCTCAAACATGTCTCAAAGAAGACAAACATCAGCCAAGTAGCTCTTCAAAAGACAACTTTTTGATTGTTTTCAAAGATCATCATCTTCAACTTAAAAGGACATTCAAAGAACAATTTAGCTTACCCCTAAAATCGGGTGCGAATGTTGGTCGAATCAAATAATTTTTTTTTGAAGTAGTAAATTAACGAATTGTATTTTATTATCTTAACTTTATTTTTTAAATTATGTCAAGTGAAATGAAATTTGAATAGATCGAAGTTAAGCTAAAAAGATGACTTAAATTAAAATTTTATAAAAACATGGCTAGATTCCAAGTCAAAAGCATATAAATTTAAAACCACATTTAAAAGTTGTTTTAGGTGCACGAACCAAGTAACCTCGATGATAAATGAATTATTGTTATTCTTTAGGGTCTCAGGTTCGAGCACCATAAATATCAAGGATATGAGCGTTCAATGTCAATTGGTATAAGAGCGTTCGAGTTATTTGACTCGATCACGATAATGACATCTTTGAATTATAAAATTCCGCTGTTGAATCGCAACACTTGATTACACCGTGGAAGGTAGAGGTAAGAAAATTTCTAAGAGCTCTCTTATTCTGATGAAAGTGCAGAGAAAAACTGTCAAATTTTATATTTTGTACGGTTCAACAATTATAGAAGATGAACAATTATTTTTTCCTTCATGGTAAAGAGGATTATGTGCTGAACAAAACAACCGTGATCATATAAAATCCAAGTTTGGGAAAGCTTTGGATTCAGTTGACATTCATTAATGAAGAATACCAAGGGTTTCGAGGAAGAAGTAGAGAACATAGAATTGTTTTTGTTGAGTTTTGGTGTCTCATCGAATTTGAGTATTTTGTCTTGAAACCTTCAAACTTTTCAGAATTCGTGTCAAGGTGAAGATTTGTTAAAGTTTGACTCGAATTCAAAACGACACAAATTAATTTGAGAAAATAATAAACCTAGTTTAATTAAAAGTAGAGAACTTTATTAAAGTAGATTTCTACTCTAATTAGTTTCATTTGTAATCAAATATTTATCCCTATAAATATATATAATGATTATGTTAGAGATTAGAATTCTCTTGACATTAGTGAATTTTATCCTCCTCTGTCCGTAATTTTTCCTAAAAAAATTTCCACATAAAATCATAATGACTATTTGATTAGACGATCATTATGCATGTCGTTATCTTATAACATTATCTAATGTCTCACATTTGATATTCATTTTACCCAAATTTGAAGAAGAATTCAGTCCATTGACTTTTATTGGTGCTCGAAACGAGCCACTGTCTTAACAACATACTTCACAATCAACTAATTAGCTCATCTTGTCTCCATCATTACCCCTTGTTGCCCACGACCTACTTCAACATCAAACACCACAAATCCTTCTAAATGAACACAAAATCATTCCTAATCAATCGAAGTGTCCAAATGTGTTTCAAAATATGTTTTCATTTTCATTTTAAGTAATATCAACGTTGACCTAATGTTTATTATACGAAAAAATTTGAACCGAAGCCTACGTCGCAAGAAATGAACCGGCCCAATCGCCAAAGGTCTAATTAACAACAACTCTCCAAAAAACGGCGTCATTTTAGTACTGTTCCTTTGAAAAAGAAGGAAACCAGAAAGATATCTTTTCTTTTCCATTCCCCCCACCCTAACTCTGCTCTCCCTAACAAAAAGCGGGTCCTTTACCTGTTCCGTTTCGCTTCTCTCTTAGGGTTTTAATCCGGAGCCGTTGAACGAGGAGGAGGAGGATCTAATGGCGGCGGCGCAAGGGATAGACCCGGCGCTGCTAGACGATATAATCAGACGGCTGACGGAAGTCCGGTCAGCCAGGCCAGGGAAACAAGTGCAGTTATCTGAATCTGAGATCAAACAGCTTTGTGTTGCTTCGAAAGACATATTCTCTCAACAGCCCAATTTGCTTGAACTCGAAGCACCCATCAAAATTTGTGGTAATTTTTTGGCGGGTTGAATTTTTATTTTTTGTGAATAAAGTTTGAGTTTTATGTTTCGTTGGTGTTTGTTATTAGAATATATTTTGTGTGTTTTGAAGGAAAGCTGATGAATTTTATTTTATGTAAAGAAATAGGTTGTGCTAGATTGGTAAAGGTTGCTTCTTTTTTTATATAAGTGTTGAATATATAGTGTTCATGGAATAGGATTCTTCTATTTTTTTAATGGGGTTTGATTCTTCTATTTTTTTTAATGGGGTTTAAATAGTTTAGATTTCTGAACCAGATAGAGGTGAATTTCACCTTTTTTTAAAGCCTAATTTACCTCCTTTTTTGAGGTGGAAAGGTGGAGGAAATTGGGTTTTTGTTTTTTTCTTTTAACAGTTTGATTACTGAAAGCTGTAGAAAAATGTATATGAAGCATTTGGAATCATATAGTCTGCATATGGCGTCTGCAAATATGATTGTAAACTCGATTGAATCAAAATGGAGATATCATTTAAATGGGATTGTTCTAAATCGCGCCTGTACCTTAGCATTATACAAAAAAAGTGCCCCAGATCCTTTCAGGGGAGGCCTATTTCATCGGGCGCACACCTAGGCCTTCTTTTTTGTTAGAGCAATAGGCGTGAAAAGAAGCCCACTCGATCGCCAATTGGATTTCTCTTATTTTATTTCACTTTTTTTTTTTAATTCGGTATACCTTTAATAATAAGAAAGGGATAATATCAGACTCTGTACTTCTCAATATTTGAACATTCAACAACAAACATTGACCATAATGAAATCATTCATATTGACACAATAAAAAATTGCATGTTTCATAGATAAACTAGACCTTACTTTAGAGTTTATTATATATCTTAAGTTTTTTTATATATCCACATACATGTACACACACAAACTTACAAAAACTCACGTGTGTGTGTGTACCCATGTATATATATATTAACTCTCACATAAACACAAACTTGCAAAAACTTATGGATATATGTATTGCGCTTTACTTCACCGAGCATAGTGCTATTTTTTTGTGCCTGAGGCAATATAACGGTTCTAGCTCCTAGAGCATGCCTTGTGTCCTTGACAACACTACTACCATCATTTTCCTGTATATTGTTGTTTCTCACTATAAATTTTTTGTTTGTGTTTCTAGGTGACATACATGGGCAATATAGTGATTTATTAAGGCTGTTTGAGTACGGTGGCTTTCCACCTCATGCCAATTACCTATTTCTAGGCGACTATGTGGATCGTGGCAAGCAGAGTTTGGAAACTATATGTCTTTTACTTGCTTATAAGATTAAGTATCCGGAGAACTTTTTTCTTTTGCGAGGAAACCATGAATGTGCATCTATTAATCGGATATATGGATTTTATGATGAATGCAAACGACGGTTTAATGTGAGACTTTGGAAAAGCTTTACTGATTGTTTTAACTGCCTTCCCGTGGCTGCTCTTATAGACGACAAAATATTGTGTATGCATGGCGGTCTTTCCCCTGACTTGACAAACCTGGATCAAATTCGAAACTTATCTCGTCCAACTGCAATTCCCGACACCGGTTTGCTGTGTGATTTGCTCTGGTCTGACCCTGATCGAGATGTTAAAGGATGGGGAATGAATGACAGAGGAGTTTCATACACGTTTGGTCCGGACAAGGTGTCTGAATTCTTGGCGAAGCAGGATTTAGATCTTGTTTGCCGCGCTCATCAGGTTGTTGACTTAACAAGGCTTTCCCACTCATCTGTTTAATGCTGTTCTATTTTGATGCTGAACTGGTTATTTTTGTGTAGGTTGTGGAGGATGGTTATGAATTCTTTGCTGATAGGCAACTTGTTACAATATTTTCAGCACCCAACTATTGCGGCGAATTTGATAATGCTGGCGCAATGATGAGTGCCGATGAAAATCTGATGTGTTCTTTCCAGATTCTCAAGCCAGCAGAGAAAAAAGCGAAGTTCATGTCCACTAAAATGTAACGGTTGCAGCTATCAACATATAATGTCTTGCAAGTCTTCACGAAGGTTAGCTAAATAAAGTTGGTTTTTTATTTTATTTTAATTTTTTATTGATTTTGATTTTTCTTTTCCTTTTTGCTGCTGACTGCCTGTGTTTGTTTATTTTTAGAAGGCAAAATAATAAATTTAGCTCTCAATGTTTACACTTTTTGTCAATTTGACCCTGGTTCTTCTCTTCAACCTTTCTTTTTTAGTCAAATTTCTGTGTTTTTGACGAAAATGCTAATTGAACTGTTATTTTTTTAAAAAAATATATATTTTTTATAATTTTAAAATTTCTTGCTACAGCAATGAAATGAATGTGGACTGCCACGGGGTTTTTACATTAGTTCTGTGAAAAAAATAACGGTCTAATCCTCATTTCCATTAAAATCACAACAATTTAACTAAGAGAAGGAAGGGTTGAGGGCCAAATTTAGCTTAAAAAAATCAGAGCCTAATTGACGAAAGGTGTGAACTTTGAGAACTAAATTTTTCATTATGTATTTATAAAATTTAAATAAAGTATATTGCAGTTATGTGGTTGAGTGTAGGAATAAATCAAGTTAAGGACTTCCTCTGACATTGTTTTTAATGTTTGTATTATTGTCTGTTATGCTGATAAACCATGGCAACAATGTGCTGTGAGTAAGAAGTGCACGTGATATTCTCTTCTTTAGTGGTTGTTACTTCTCTCTGGATATACTTTTAGAAGTTTTTAGCATTTTCAGGTATCTCATGCAGTTTGAATATGTTTATGATGTTAATTAATAATTGTAACCATAAACTTTTAGGTGGAAATAATATCAAATCATCGTTATCATAAAGCTGTTTTTGTCAAACCAATCTTGAAATGCTCATTTTTCTAATGGTCCTAGTTTAGAAACTAAAGAAATACCTTATTATTTGATCAATCTGTCTTTTAAGATTCATGCTTTATGATTCTCTGGATCACATCAAATTAGAGAATATTCGAAAGACAAAAAGGGAGTGGTTTTCTTTCTATGGTATAATTTAGTGATCAGCCCCCCTATCCTTGGTATCCAATTACTCGATTGCCTGCTTTCTTCTCCTTCAATTTCCTCCTTTTCTCTCCGTTGTGAGAATATTGGTGATTGGTAATGTGTTTTTTTTTTTTGTTATTATCAGAATGCAACACTTGAAAAATGGATCTTTTTTCTCTTTAAATTCATATGATGCTTATTATAATCGTTAATTATGTTCCCATTTTCTGTTACCAGTCTTTGTTATTCATCCAGTTAAACGTCATAATGACTATCGATACAGCTTTTATGATTTATTGTTTCCCTTTTTCTCTAATGTAGTTATCCTTGTCACTCTCCAAAAATGGTTGAAACTGAATATCGCAGGATCCCGAACTTTTGATAGAGTAGATGTAAGAGATGCTTTCGAGTAGCACATGATGCAACTCTGTATTTCTCTTATTCTTCTCTTCTATCTTCCACTCCAACGTTTGATCTTTTTCCTTATAGCAGTTAATCTGCGGTGCATGTATAGATATATCTGGTCTGACAGCAAATAGGGTGCTCTGAGTTGTTGGAACATTAAAAAAAAGGCCATGTTCTTCCGCAAAAAGGATTTTTTTTGTATTTGTCACTGTTCTCTGATTGAGTTGTTTGTATGGATATATAATTTGGTGCAATCAAATATTATGAGATGATTAGCTGCAATCAAGTGCCTAGTGCTTAAAGATTCATCATTTCTTTGGTCCATGATAATGAGTAATGCTTATGTGGTAGCATCATGAATCCGCAAGGTGACCCTGAAAAAACAGGGTAGGAGAAAATGACCCGAGCCGTTGTTCGAGTACCTTATTGCAAATTGTGTATTTCTTTCATAGGAACTTAAAGATTCAGGTCGATATTGGGAGATTTAGTTCACAGCCAATGCTTTTATTGCTTAAAATAAGTCTCGTTTCAATTGAGGGCGAAGTCGACTCCTGTGATAGTTTTAGGTAGTCTACTCTTGTTATATCGTGTTGGTATAGACTACTGGGCAAGAATACTTTTTGAAGTCCTTGATTGTGTAATAATTACTTGGTTCAACTTTTATCATGTTAATTATTCACGACAATAGAATTCGACTTGTATAATAGCGGAGTTAAATAAAAAATTTAAAATTGGATTTTCTAACTTGGTTTTTACCTTGATAGATTTTAAGTTAATTATTCATGATAATCGAGTTAAATAAAAAAATTTAAAAATAATTTTGAAATTTTTGTGGCACTTAACTATCATGAAAGTGAATTATATTATTACAAGTAATTAGTTTGAAATTAATTTTGGTAAGAATTTAAATAATTAACTTTGATATTCTTATTGAACTCAATGTCATAGAAATCAAATTCTGTTATCATTAAAAATTAGTTGAAAATCGAGAATGGGAAAAATCAAGTATATATAACCAAATTCTGTTTCATGTTTAAGCTGGCAAAGATCAAAACCAGGCGTCGTTAACGAGAGTGGTTGCAGTTATGAGAGCTGTTTTGGGAGGTGCAATGGAGGATTCAGTTCTTATGCCCTATCCACTTCCATCTGTGACATCATCAAGCCATTCGTTATCAACAGCAGTATCTGGTTCTCGGCCATTCAGGTCCTGCAGAAGTATATTGTGTTACTACTAGTAGTGGATCAACCTCTCAAGCACCCTCAATCTATCTTCTTCTTTTGAAACACCAATTAGATCTAGCCATTTGCAATGAAGTTCTAATTCCACATGCGGGAGGTATTTGTCTATCATTCTTTGATATTGCTTTGGCTTTCACGTACATATTCCTCATCTCTAATTTGTGGAAATCATTGGACAAAACCAAGCTAAACTGATGGAAGAAATTCAGTCTCTCCGGAAAGAAAATCAGCAGCTTCGTCAATTGCTTCAGGTGCTGCTGATTAAACAGCATTACCGTGTGAGGTTTGTGAATGCCTGTTCTGATCATCTTGCTGTTTCGTTTTATTATGATTTCTGTTTCATCGGGAGGCTAAGAATAAAACTGCTAACAAATGTGGGGCTGAGAATAATATTTTTATATTTCTTAAACTAGTACAGAAATGCTTCTGGGTTGATAAAAAAAAAATGAAGCTTTAAACAGGGTTGTAGTAGATAGAGTTCCCTGAAATCACCTCGTTTTGACATGTGTAGCCTTATCAAAATAGATCTATTTCAGCGGAAAGTCAAAATAGCTATTTTATGCTTCATTTTCCAGAAGAGAAGAGAAAAAAAAATTTAGTATTATTTGCAACCAGATTGAAGGCGAATAGTCAACCTGGGTTCATTTGCTTTGATGCTCTTTCACAAGTGACATATTTATTTACATTTTTAGATTTCTAATAATATTATATTTTCACTGACAATGTATCTAGAAATCTTGGGAGGGGGGGGGGGAAGCTATAGGATCAAAAGACATAACATTTTGAGTATATGTTTAAATGAAATTATTTGTTACATAGGTCGTGTCAAATTTAAACTCCACGAATTTATCTATTTAAAAGTCACCTGATATATTTGAATGATCTTATACTCTAAATTGAAAATACTAAACCCTAAACCCTAATAGGACAGGTGATATTAATACAATCCCGCCCGCTTGTGAAATATATTTTTTCCACAGCAAGTGTATGAGATAATAGTCCATATTTAAATCGTTACAAATGAAGCCATTCACGCATCAAATTGATTGAGCTGAATGGGTTACCAAGTATTTCCATTTGATTGAGCTGAATGGGTTACCAAGTATTTCCATTTGATTGAGCTGAATGGGTTACCAAGTATTTCCATTTGATTGATTAAAGAGATTAAGCATAGGAAAATCATGGCGAAGTGCATCTCAGTGCCGATTAGATGGACCTTCATTTAAGAAGTATATAACGTTAATAAAATGATATTAATACTTTAGTTTAGAAATATATAAATGGATAAATAACTAACATTTGGATGTGGGGAATGTGGCACACTCTGTAGAAATCTTCTTCTCCTCTTCCATCTATCCCTTTAATCCTCTCTTCCAATGAACTCTCCATTTCTATTAATTTCAGTTCTTGAAGAGTAGTAATATGCCTCAGACCTTCCGGAATCATCTTCAAGACTGGATTCCACCCCAAACATATACTCCGGAGATGATATTAATTATATATTTCAAGAGAATCGGTTTGAGGAAATCCATTGGCTGAACAAATCATTTTACTCCCCTTATATGCTTCAGAGACAAAGCTAAGAATCCTCAAACAAGGTAGCTTTTCCATTACACCCATGGTATCATGTTCCATCTCACACCCCCACAGAGTTAACTTGACAATGTTTGGCGGAAGAAATTTCAAAACATGTTGGCTCCCTTCAAGATCTTCTTTTACCTTAGCTTTTAATGTTAGTTTGGAGAGGGTATGACACTGAGAAAGGGGTTCCAAGTCTGGATACAATGGGGTTGACCCCATTGAAACTGCATGTACAACGATGCAAGGCGTTGCAATTCCCTCGGCGACATTAGGATAGGTTTCACATCTTCTGCTCTCTTAAATCTCATTTCTAAACTACGAAGATTACTCAATCCTACCACCGTCTTACTGAATTCAATAAACTTCTCATCCACAGCTATGTATTTTAAAGTTTCAATACTTTTTGGAAAATACCTTGGTCGGAATATAGTTTATCTCCCGTAATGTCCGGACTACACAATACAAAATGCCTCGAGCGTTCCAACATGGATACGACATCAGGAATTACCAAGCTCCCAATATATTGGAGGTATAAAGTGTGTAAACTCTTCAAGCTTCCAATAGCCCTGGGCAAGATTATTTCTTTACCGTATAGCTTCAAATACCTCAAACGACGGATATTACCAATTTCACTTGACACATGCCACTTCTCACCATACTTTTCTACAATAGTCAACACCCTTAAAAAATTGAAACTTTTGCATTCTAAAATGTGCAGTTCTATCAATTCCTCATTTTGAAACAACAACAAAGAACGTAAATTCGGGTGTTTTCCCTTCAAACAGTCATAC